CCCCCCCCCCCCCCCGTCGAAGCAGAGGGCAGTTTGCTTCTCACCACGCACGAGATGGAGCCGTCACGTTCCACGATGCAGCGAGCTTTCTCGTGGCACGGGCTAAGGGCCCCGTTGGCACAGCGTCTCTCCGCCTGGCTCCTGCACCCGACGGTCTGGTCTCCCACAAAGCCGGGCTTGCAAGCCCCGCACTTGTAGGAGCCCTGCCAGAGGAGCAACAAGAAGTCACGCGGGTGCGGGGAAACCTTGGCCGGAATCCCCGTCCAGCTGATGGGGGCTGCTCCGTCCCCACCGAGGGGAGAAGCTGCCCGGGTCTAGCAGCACAGGGCTAGTTACCCGTGTGTTGATGCAGATGGAGTTTGCCCACAAAGCCGGGCTTGCAAGCCCCGCACTTGTAGGAGCCCTGCCAGAGGAGCAACAAGAAGTCACGCGGGTGCGGGGAAACCTTGGCCGGAATCCCCGTCCAGCTGATGGGGGCTGCTCCGTCCCCACCGAGGGGAGAAGCTGCCCGGGTCTAGCAGCACAGGGCTAGTTACCCGTGTGTTGATGCAGATGGAGTTTGGGACGCAGACCCTGCCGCTGTCCGTCTGGCACTCGTTGATGTCTGTACACACCTATCCGGGAAGGAGACAGCGGGAGGGTCACACTTGGGGAGAAAGCAGCCACCTCCCTTCCGGTGGCATTGGGGGCTGGGGCTGCAGGGGGGCAGGGGCACTTACCTGTTTGTTGGCTCTGGCGAAGGCTAGCCCAGTCCCTTGGGGGGCAGACCCCGTGTAGCCAGTGGGACAGGGTTCGCAATGGAAGCCAGGGAAAGTGTTAACGCAGTTGACTTTTGAGAAGCAGGGATTCGTGCTGCACTGTAGACGAGAAGCAAAGTTTCTTCTGATTTGCCGGTTGTGGCTCTAAACCAGCCCTTCTACCGTCGGCCCCCGGCTCGAAAGAAAGGCCCCCAAATGCAGGCCAGAGTGACCGGGGCGATTTGAATTTCTGTGCCATTGGAAAGTGCCGCATCTCATCCAAGTGGGAGGGGACACAGGCCAGGAAAGCAAATCAACGGGGCAGCTTCCTACCCATTCGTTTCTAAGGTGGCACCAGCTTCCCAGGCACGGGACTAGTGCCTGAGTACCAGGGAGGAGAGGCTGAGGGATTGGGGCTTATTTAGTCTGCAGATGAGAAGAGAGAGGGGGGATTTGAGAGCAGCTTTCAACTCACGGACTGGGGGGTTCCCAAGAGGCTGGAGAGAGGCTGTTCTCAGTGGGGGCAGGTGGCAGAACAAGGAGTAAAAACGATTCCCCTAGGAGGGTGGGGAAGCGCTGGGCTGGGTTCCCGAGGGAGGGGGTGGAATCTCCATCCCTAGAGGTGTTTAAGTCCCGGCTTGACAAAGCCCTGGCTGGGTTGATTTAGTTGGGTTGGCCCTGCTGTGGCCGGGGGGGCTGGACTCGATGACTCCTGGGGTCTCTTCCAGCCCTATGAGTCCATGATTCTACTAACGTCCACTTTTATTTGTGCTTGGCACTCTCGGCAAGTCCAAAGTACTGCAGAATTTGCCATGCTGGCTTGGAGAGGCTCAGAGTTCATTCCTAGCGCTGCGATGTCATTGTCCCTCTCCGAGGGAGCGCATTAGCGTTCAACTGCCAATCCAGCCCCGAAGATGATACTTTCCGCAAGGACAAATTGCTCAAATCTTTTCCCACCACCATTTTAATTGACATTCTCAGGCCTTCTACCCCCTGCGTCGTTACCCCAGGAAACCTGTTGACATCCAGCAAACCTCAGCACCGGAACCAAATTCTCTCCGTACAAAGGAAATAAACCTGCCTTTTAGAAGTGACCACCCAGCGAATCGGGGGGAATGATGATTGATCTAATAGAAGCTGATCCGCAGCTGGAGAGGCGGGTTGGAAACAGGCAAATGGAGCTGCTTGTGCGGATTTCCCTAGGTGTGGGGCACCAGGGGCAAGGCAGTGTATCTCCAGGAAGAGGCAAGGGGGAACC